CGAATCTTCCTTCTTTCTCTTCCTTTCATTTTCATATTTCTTCAGTAATGCATCTTTTTGACGAAGCTTCTCATCATGATCAATGAACCAGCCGTCTTGAATAAATAGAAAATCATGCTTTTCCTTTAGCTGTCGAGTCAGGACCCGATTCTCATATTCTGACATATTATACTTTTCTTTCCAAGCATCTCTCTCGGACTTCATCCTAGCCAGATTTCCTTGGTATTCTCCCATATTCTCGATAGGGATATCTATAGATGGTGATGCAACAGTAGGGAATAAAGGTTTCTCGGTTTATAAGGCATCTTGAGAGCACAAGACCTAGCACGAACCCATTGTAGGTAAGGCTCCAAAGAAACAACACCTCTCTGTCCTAACATGTCTCTCCCTTTCCTATGGATGTGACGCCAAGCTCCATCGATCTCCTTCTTAGCTGCTTGATGATCTTGTCCTTCTTGTAGAAAGAAGCCACTCACATGGATATTGTTTGGCTTGTCCCTCATCGGGTATCCAAACTGACGCCGCGCGAGAACAAGATTATAGTTAATTCCTCCTTTCATACCAAGGAGAGGCACGTTAGGAAAAGCACCACAACTATCGATGATCTTCACGTCATAGTAAGCTCGATTATACCAATCAATGTCGAAATGAGTGAGAGCCATAATTTTTGGCGCCCATCGTGGCTCCTTCTCGAGATCCCAGAAAACATCAGACCTAGGTAGATGAGAAACATACCACTGATACTGCAACGGTGCACAACAAATAATAATCCCTCCTTGATAAGAGTTTCAAAGATGGATGGAGTAGTAAGTATCTCCTAGCAGCGTAGGGACCGGATTTCCAATCAAGAAAATTTTGTTGGCGTTGATATCCACAAACTTATCAACGTTAGGGAACAAGAATAGGCCATAAGCGAGTAAAGCAAAGACATCTTCAAAGGCAATAGTATCTTTTATCTCAGCGAAATGACGAGCTTTCTTCAACAAAAACTGCGCAGATAAGCCTTGGATCCCCCCTTTTGTAGTCATGTTCTCCTCTATCTCCGACTTCCTCAAGTGGGTGATGGTCGCTATCTCGTGAGATTTGGGTTCCTCTTCTAAGCCAGAAAAAGGAACACAGTCAGTGATCGGCAAACCAAGTATGTAGGAGTACTCTTCTAAGGTGGGCATTAACTGGTAATCCGGAAAGGTGAAGCATCGATACAATGGATCGTAGAATTGGACCAACGTACTAAGGATGCCTTCCTTCATCTTACGCTTCATGAGAGGTATAATGGTCCCATACTTCTTCTGAAACTCCGTCGGGTTCTCGATCTTAGGAATCAAACTCTTCAGCTCCTCAATCTCGGGCTCCTTAAAACTATAACTTCGAGTGTTTCTTCTTCCAAACTCCATAATAACAGTACCTGAGATGTCTGCAAAAATCATTCTTAAGTTCCTTGAAAAACAAGTTTTTACAAAAAATGTTGATGGATGCATGGATGAATGATAATGCAACAGTTACACACAAGTTCACAAATATGGGGTTCAAAGGTTCAATGCTTCGAGCATGGAGTCCAAGGTAAAGCCCTCCCCAGGGTATGTACTCACAGTTTAACCACACCTGCAAGACAAGGTTCTAAGAGTTCCCAGAGTCTACATTCCTCCTTCGAATATTACCAACATCTTGATTACTCAATAATTAGCAATATTCTCAAGAGAAACTCATCCGAGCATATCATCGTGTGAAAACTACTTCCGGATTACTCCGTTATAGTCTCTGCGCTACACCTAAAATGCCAAGATGGGTTAGGGTTCTACGGTTCTCAGCTTCTTTGGCTCTTAGGTCGAAAATAATAATGTCTTCCCGATTACTCGGTAAACAAATACTACGTTCAAAAGGGCCTTCCACTGAGTCGGGGATTTCATGCCTCCTTCTTCGGGATTACTCCCTTAAAGTTAACATGACTATACCGCCTGTCCTATTCTTAAGTGTAACTTAATCCGGGTATAGGATTCGTCCTTTGCAAAAAACCCAAACAACCCCAATATAAACACATAATCAAACAAATCAAATAATAATAAAACAGATAAAACAAACTAGGCTTAACCCACTTAGGGATGGACCAGCAAGAGGTCAATCTGTCCCCAGCAGAGTCGCCATTTCTGTAGCGATAAAAAATGTAGCGGGGTAAATCGGAGATCGAGCTATTAATTAACTCGTCTCACAAAAGCAAGAGTCGCCACCGCGCTTTATTATTTCCAAGGGAAAAGGGAAAAGAGTGAAATAAAACCCTAAAGTATGCAATGTAACATAATACTTTTAAAAGTAATGAGAATACAAGGTGTTTTGAAGAGAGATGTGAAGTTCGGGGGTTGGTTATATAATAGGAAGGTATTAGCATCCAATGTATCTATAGTACTCTATAGGAACCTTTTGAGATATCTGTTTATTAAAAAATGTTAGTTTGATTAAAAAAATAAATTGCTTGGACAAAAATGGGTATGGACGAGTTTTTTTGAAGATACGACGACCTAACGTCGAAGTTTTGACTTAAAAGGTATGAGTTTTGAAAGGTTGAATATTTGGGAAAATTATCTTAAGTTTTTTAACAAAATAATAAACGGAAGATGAATGAGGGTATTCGCGCTATGTGTTTGATGACATGAAGTCGACAAAAATTTAAATGATTCCCTTGGATTGAGACAGACGAAAGATATGCGGATTAATGATCAATTAATTAAAATTACAATTGAACAATTAACTAATGAAATTTAAATCATACTAGCATGCATTTTAACGATTAAATAAATAATCAAAAGTACATGAAGATTAAATTACGAAATCATAGATTTTTAATAATTAAACACATGACAAAAATTAAATCACGAAGCATGTATTTTTGAATAATTAAATAAAACAACAACACAAAAATAAAATAGAAAAAAATAATAGTATGTTGACGAAATTAAATAAGGATGAATTTTAATTAAACATGTTTTTATGTGTTTTTTATAATAGTTAATAATTATACAGCAAAGTAAATTCATATACATACAAGTATAGTTAAATAAAAGGGAAATGGCCAAAAGAATAAAAGACAGAAAAATAAAAGACCCCACAAGGACTTGAGCTCAGGACCCTTAGATTGTTGTTAATATATTTTACCAATTGAACTATGATGTTATTCATTTACTAGCATAAGTTAATAAAACATAAGAGAAAATTGAAATTGGAATTTGACTAAATTAGGCCCAATGGGCCACCGGGTCAAGGAAGGAAGGAATAAAAAAAAAAGCTTGGAAACCCTAATGTAAAGGGAGGCGCCGCTTGCTGTATGCATGGGGAAAGGAGAAACAAAATATTATTATTAATATGTTACTGTTATTGAAAAGTGGGAAAAATATTATTATTATTATTATATTGTTTTGGGAAGAGGGAAAGAGTAATTTATTATATCATAATAGAAACAAAAGACAGTAAAGTAACAAAAAGCCAATGTTATCCTCCATCTCCCATACGGAAAAAAAACGTCCTTCTTCTTCTTTCTTACAGATCTGAACCCTTCTTCCTCTCTCTCACACACCTGAACTCCCTCTTCTTGGCCTCACCATTACAGATCCGATTTCTTTTCTTCCTCCTCTCTCTCTCTCTGTTACACAAACCCACTTTCCTCTCTCTCTGTATCGTTTACTTACCGTAAGCAAAATAACAACAAAAAAACTTCAAAACAATTTTATCTCTCTCTCGTACATTCCAGATCTCAGAAAAAACAGTGAGTGGAGAAAATGGCGCGGCGGAGGAAGTCGTGAGTGAGGAGGGAAACGAGATCGGCGGAGATCTGGTTGTGGGGGTCAATGGCGTTGACAGATGCAGTTTAGTGATGAATTCACGAAAAGATGAAGGGGATAACGGTTGGGATGGTACTAAGGTGATTACGATGGTGATGAAGAAGAGATACCGAGGGTGTGGTTTATGGAAGGAGGTTGTAGTTGTTATAAAAAATAATAACAGATTTTGTACATGTGAAAGAGATTAAACAAAAGGGTATAGTGCTCTTTCTTTTGAATTGGTTTTTTTATTTAGATTTACAATTTTGGTTTACAGTTTTACGGTTTGGATTTTGGTACAGGTTAAGCGTTTTTTAAGATTGCAGCAAGTGGTTTTTTTCTGGATTTTATAACAACAAACTGGACAACAAATGGTTTTTCTGGATTTTATAACAACAAATGGTTTTTCTGGATTTTAAGAACAAATGGTTTTTATGGATATTAAGAACAAAATATTTTTTAAAATATTGGAATAGCAATATATTTTTTAAATATTGTAACAACAACATATTTTTTTTAAATATTGGAACAGCAACATATTTTTTTTAAAATATTGGAACAACAACATATTTTTTTTAAATATTGGAACAACAACATATTTTGGACAGCAAAAAATATTTTGGACAACAAAGGTGTTTTGGACAGCAAAAATATTTTGGACAGCAAAAATATTTTGGACAACAAAATGTTTTGGACAGCAAAGGTGTTTTGGACAACAAAAATATTTTGGACAACAAAGGATATTTTGGACAGCAAAGGATATTTTGGACAGCAAAGGTGTTTTTTTATATTTTGGGACAGCAAGATGTTTTAGACGGCAAAAATATTTTGGACAGCAAAGGTGTTTTGTACGGCAAATATATTTTGGACAACAAAGGTGTTTTTTTGATTTTGGGACAACAAGATGGATAACAAGTATTTGGGACAGCAAGCGATAAATTGGTATTACGCGACGAAAGAAGTAAGCTTTTTATTATACTTGTTATTATTACCGATATTATGAATACTAACATGTTTAAAATGCTAACAATCATGCAGCAACTCAACTTAAATACAGTACAACAATGAAAATAATGATAAGGCAAACATTGCATGGCAAAGAAAAAATGGTACAACAAGTGATTCAAGCATGAACATATGCAACAGTAGATAGAGAGGAGAAAAAGAATAATACATATCGGAGCTTCTCCGATGGGGCTTCTACCAAAATGGTAAGCTTCCTTGAGTTTGCTATCTTTTCCCCTTGCTGAATTTTTCTTAGAACAACACTAATTTTCTGTTTTCACTCTTGTTGAAACTTTAGAACACTCTATTTTTCTGGTTTTTTCTTACTTGCTGAATTTTTCACTTCCTCCTTCTTTGTGTTGGCAAAGGCTCTTATTTATAGTGGAGTATGTAGGATTTGAGGGGGGGAAAACAGTAGAAATTTGAATTGTTTTAGCAAGTTGTTTCCATGCTTTGTTCCTACCATTCATTTTAACCATTTTGATGCAAATTGCTGCTACTTTGATGCAGGTTGGAGCAGGTTTTGGCAGCACTTGGAGCTGCTGTATGTTGCTGTTTTTTACTGTTTTGTAGCATTTTACAACATCTCTCTTTGCTGTTTTTTTCCAGGCTGTTTGGAGCATTATTAACCAACAAAAATACAACAAAATGGGCTTGAAAAAAGGTTGCAAACATGGACTGCATTAGCAACTTTTGCTGGAATTTTTTATGTTGAAAATATATTTGTACACACTTGTAGCTTCTTGCAACCTTGTAATAAACTCCAATAAATTGTAACATGAATAAATATGCATTCTTCAATATATTTCCACTCTTTGATAGTTATGAATAATCTTGAATCTTCACATAAACATAAATCTTGATATATCTTGATAAAAATTCAAGATCTTCCATTTAAATTTGGGAAATAATACTTGGATGAATTGTTGAATGTTGAATAAATAATAAAGCAAGTCTTGCACTTTAATCTTGCACTTTTGTAATAGAAATCCAAATAAATCATATGAATTAATTTTGTAACCAAATAAAATTCCTCATGTAATTAAATAGAATTCCCCACTAACTTCTTGAAATAATGCTTCATGTATTTAAATAACCATGATGTAGATCCGCCAAAAAATAATCACACAAATAATCTTGAATAAATATCTCATGTGATAAATGAATATTCTTGGATGAAAAATCTTGAATAGCTCCTCTTTAATTATAACTTGGATTCAAATAAAGAAAATTCCAAATATTCCGAATAAATTCTTCTAGAACGGTTTTGAATTTAATTATCCCATTTCGGCGAAATTCAATCCGCGTCGTGAGAAAATTTGCAGATGACTTTTGGTCCAAGAAATTGAAAATGACGGTATAACCTGTTTTTCTTGTATTTTAGAACAATGTGAAACACACATGAACCAAAGCCGGTAGAATTTTGACTGTTCTTCCTAAAAAAAATTCAGGGAAAAACGAAGACCATTTGCTGGACAGAGTTTGGAAATAAACGCACAATTCACTGAAATTCTTTGATGAACCAGTCTTTTGGAAATTAACGAACGACATCATTTCTGTTCTGAGACTCAAAATCATGATCGACGTACAACGTATGATGCTCTTCTTTCAGACCTATTTTCTGCACATGAAAATAAAACAGCAAAACATGCACTTCGTGCTTGATTAGTGGTTAGTCATTCATAAAATGCTCACAACACTCGATAATTTCTACACAGTCAAAGCTCGAAAGTGAAACGTTCGAAACCTACCGTATTATGTGACCTTGATGTGTATGAAAAAATAATGCAGATGAAGCAGGGATCTTAGGTCAAAAATTAGGGTATGACAGCTACCAAAGAATTAAAGGAGAAGGTAACCGACATGATCCCACAACTTAAAATTCCTAGTTACGCGAAAGATAAATATATTTATGCACTTCATTTTGGAAAGATTAATTTTCCTCCTTTTCCATCTCGTCCATTGGCTTTGGCCTTTGGCCCACCTATTCTAGACTGGTGGTATTGCCCTTGGTCAGACATAGAAAACGCTTATAATAAAAAGGCCGAGAGAGTGGTACCGACGAAACATTATGTACACAACTACTCAGACCCTCTGCATATTGATCCTCAATGTGTTAGAGAACTCTCTATCATACAAACTGGTAACAGTTATTGGAAAGCTTGGCTTTTTACCATTACAAATTTATCACTATTTTGATCTTTTACTTCTTCCTTACAACCATTCCCATAGATCAAGATGAGGAGGCTCATGTCGACCAGACTAGTCCTTCGACAAAAGAGGTTTAGATTTGAATATTTCTATTTTTACTCTCTGTTTGGCATATTTGATTTAGCCAATTTTTAAACTTTGCAGATCGTGCCTGAAAAAACTCCATCTGACGATGAGACTATTTTGACTGCTAATAAAAAACATAGTTCTTCAGTATGTCTGATTTCCTTCACTATTTCCTATATGATTTCAGACTGTTACTAATAATTTGGCTTTTTGCAGAGTAAAAAATGTTTGATGTATTTGACTGCTCCCTCCAAAACATCCAAAAATCCAAGAAGGATGCACACCATTCCATCAAAGAAAAAAAGGTACTTTGCATTGGTTTATACTTTTAACTAAAGCACCAACTTATACCTTTTTTTTATTCAGCCATCTCTTGTGGCTCATTCTCCACAACATTCCCACAAATCCAAAAGTCACAAGAGAAAGAAAGATTCCCCTGCTAAGAGTGACGAGAAAAAGAAGAAGAAGAAGGCTAAGGTGTCTGCGGCAAAAGATGTTGAGCCTACTCCTCAGGCAAGCACTATTGATGTGGTAGAAGGGGCGGCAGATGCCGATCCCTCTCTTGATAAAAACATTTTAGTACATAAAATCCAACTGAAACCACTGCTACATACCTGATCCGATATCATGCACAGATAAAAAATGAGTAAATTTTAAATGTAGTTATGATAACGATAACTTGAGTATCGAATCGCGAGGATTCTTGTATTATTATTAACTAATAGGAATCGAATTGGGGGGGGGGGTGTTTTTAGGGTCGAATTATAAAAACAAATTAAAATAAGTGATTATTCAATAAGCTAAAACGAATAATCCTACTGATTCGGGTTTTGACTTATCATCGGTTATAATAACACCAATCCCTAAACAGTTTCGATCCTATTTGATTATGAGATCAATCAGACAAGCTCTTATCATAATCATACGAATTATGTTCCTATTACCAGATTAAGAAAACATTTAAGAATATGACGAGTTAGCAAATTAAACAAACGATAATACACAATTAAATTTAGTAACATGCATACAATAGAATTTAATCAATTATATCCTATGAACAATAATTGAATTAAACAAACAATTGAAATCTAATTAAGCAAATGATTTCATAGAGAAGGATTGAACATATATCAAATTTAAATTGGTATCAAAATAACCTCAAAGTAATGAAACCCATAAGCAACAGGATTTGCCTTCGGGAATTAGTTCTCCATAGCAAGCGTACAAAGCAAAATATTTTTCGTGAATATTGTGTTACAACCTCTCCATCGGCTGCATTCCTTATAAAATAAAATAAGGGTTTCCACTTACAAAATGAATCGGGTCAAAAACATAACCCAAACCCACTAAAAAGATCCAAAAACAAATTATTCTAATGCTGCAACTTCTGCAAATTATTCAATCCCTCTACAATCCGAATTAGCTTTTGGCTCCAACGTTAAAGTTATAGCTCTTTCTCTTAGCTTTCCAACGCATATTACAATGCCTCGATCTAATTTCTATAGCTCCAATTATGAATTTTTCAATGAAAGCTTCTAAAGCTGAAAATAAAATACGAAAATCAAATAAAGGCGAAAATTAACTAAATTATAAAAATATCATAAAATAGAAAAATAAACAAAACAAATCATGGAAATGCCCAAGTAAAAACATATAAGAATGTGTATCAAAATGCACTAATCAAATTCTCCCACACTTGAACTTTTTCACTCCGAGCAAAATAAAATCAAAATTCAAGAAACACAACAACATTCAGATACTCATTCTATGCTACAGACTCTTCTTCGATTAAGATTGCATCGATAGGTACTAATCTTGCACACTAAGGATATCGTAAGAACATTACTCTGAAATTGTGCAGTCATAAGCCTCCTGAATATACAACCCAATTCAAATCCTGTTATTATGCCAACGTCTAACTTACTCATCCTCCTTTTTGCTCTCTTTCATTCTGGCACAATCACATTAAGCCTGCTATCTCCACACAATCATAGTAAGGCGATCGGTTAGTGATTCTGATCCTTTTTGCATGGGGTTCTTGTACATGAGTGGAATAACCCTTTGCTTACCCAATTGTAGTTGTGGGGGATCAGACTGTAATCTGTGGCACCAAGTTCAGCACCAGAAACCTCTGAACCAACCAACAACGAGTCTGATAATCAAATTTTGTAGGTTACACAACTATTGGGTTAAGTGACCGGATGAGGGTTACCAAACTTAGAAGGTGCATTCCCTATTTTTTTTTTCAAATAAAAATCTGGATCACTCACTTGTATTCATCGGCTTCCCTACGTAGAGCATGTGTGAGATGGTGTTGACTGCTAAGATAAACTACTCAAGAGCTATTACAGAATCAGAGTTCAAGGTTATGTCATAATAATTATTCAAATTAATTTCTATATGCAGGAGACTTACGGTGTTAAGACGATACCGATCTTACGAACTTTTCCCAAGTCTCCACAACTAACCTCAAATTAATCTTATAACCCACAACTTACACAAAGATGCATTTTTTTAATAATAACTAAAAACAAAACAAAAACAACGAATAAAAGCAAAGAAAATAAATAAAATAAAAATGATTCCCTCCCCCACACTTAAAACATGCATTGTCCTCAATGAAAGGACATAACTATTAAATAAGAGTGAGAGAAAGGAAAGACTACTTACTTATTTCGTCGAAATTTTGACTTCTTGAAGAGTAGGCCTATGTCTCTTCAAATACTTTCCATTTACTCTTAAAATTCGTCGATCTAAAGCCAATTCTTCAATTACATATGCATTGTTGGAAAATATTTGTATTATCTTGAAAGGTCCTTCCCAATTTGGGGACCACTTTTCTAAAACTCTATCATTCCTGTTCATATGCAATATAACTTTCCAAACCAAATCATCAACAAAAAATGCTTTATCTTTTACCTTCTTATTGTAGGCTCTAAAAACTCATTCTTTTTGTCTTCTTAACAAATCTAAAGCCGGCGTCCTTTCTTCATCTAAGTCGACAAGCTCATCTATCATCATGCTCTAATAGTCTTTAGATGGTAACTCATTTTTCCCCTGAATCCTAACCGAATGGACATAAATTTCCCCTGGTAATACTGCATCATGTCCATATGTGATTCGAAATGGAGTAGTCCCTGTTGCTTGTTTTGGTGAAGTTCTACATGCCCATAAAGCTTGATCTAGTGTCTTGTGCCAATTCTTTAGTTTCTTTCCTACATGCATTTTTATCGGGCTAATTATATCTTTAATGGCCTCTTCTACTTGGCCATTTTCCCGGGCATAGTAGGGGTAGAAGTTAGCAACCTAATCCCAATTTCATTTGCAAAATCTTGCATTTTTCTACCAGTAAGGACTAATCCTTGGTCGGTTATAATTGTCTCTGACACTCCAAATCTACACATGATGTGTTTTTGGATAAAATATATGATAGCTTCTTGGTCAACACTTACCAATGCATCTGCTTCAACCCATTTCGTGAAATAATCAATTCCAACTAGAATATATCTTTGTTGTTTTGATGAAGATGGTCTTATTTCTCCAATTATATCCAATGCCCACCCCTTAAAAGGCATAGGCTTTATTTATAATTGCATGCAATTCACTTGCATGAACATGTTGTATGCCCCCACGTAACTGGAATTCTTTGCATACTTTAGCAAATTAAATGAAATCTTTCAACATTGAAGGCCAATAGACATCCATCCTCACCAAGAGCCGTTTCATTTTATGTCTAGCTTGATGTGAACCACAAGCTCCACTATGCACATTTAACACAACTATATATGCCTCACTTTCTCTAAGGCATTTTAACAATACCCCTTCAGCTGTCTTTTTGAATAACTCCACTTCTATAAATACATAACTGAGTGCATGATATTTGACCTTACAATAAGTCGAACCTGTAGCGTGCCGCAAATAATTAACCAATGGTTTTCGCCAGTCATTTTTCGACAGATTATCAATGGTTAAAATTTCAAAATTTTCAGCATCTACAACTCCTAACTTTATAATCAACAAATTTTAAGGTGACAATAGGGTAGCCCGAACCTTCCCCCTTTCTTGGATTGGTTCTTCATCTTGGTCCTTCAAGAATTTATACCCTGAAGATTCTTGTGCTAAATCATTAGCTTCTTGATTCTCCCGTCGTGGTATGTGTCAAATACTTACTTGTTAAAATTGCCTAAGCAATCTAATAGTAATCATAAAATACATGATTAAGTTTTCCTTAACACACATATATTCCCTCGACACTTGTTAAGCACCAGTTCTGAATCTCCCATAATTTCGACATTCCTTTCCCTCAATTCTAGCATAATTTCAAGTCATGTTATTAAAGACTCATATTCTGCTACATTATTTGTACACACACCTTCAATTTTGTACTTGAGCTCTGCTGGAATTCCACTTGGAGAAATGATAACTCCTCCTATTCAGGCTCCATTTTTATGACTAGAACCGTCAAAAGATAACTTCCATTGTACCATGTCCATATAATTTTGGGGCATACAGACCATTTAATGGTCAACAAGGAATTCAGCTATTATTTTCCCCTTTATTGGTTTTAAGGGAATAGAAGTCAGTGAATATTCAGTTAATGCTAAAGCCCATTTACCAATTTGACTATGCATAATTGGTTTAGACAACATGTTCTTAACGATATCAAAATAAGAAGACACATACATATCAACTGGCTTGATATATTGCTTCAATTTAATACAAGATTAATACAAACACAAGCATAGTTTTTATATATCATTATACCTAGTTTCAGGGTTATTAAGTACTCGACTAAGGTAATACACATGTCTTTCGACACCTTTTTTGTCTTCTTGGAATAACATACTACCTATAGTCGATTCTAACTCTTAGATATACAACCTCATTGGCCTAATTCTAACAGGAGGCACTAATATTAGAGGTTTCATCAAGTAATCTTTGATCTTCTCAAAAGCGTCTTGATGTTCGTCTTTCCAGATGAAATCTTTGTTCTTCAGTCGAAGTAGTGGTGAAAACGCTTTTGTTTTACAACTTAGATTAGATATAAATCTGCTGAAGTAATTTATTTTGCCCAATAAATACTGAAGCTCATTTTTAGTCGATGGAGGCCTTACATCCATGATGGCTTTGTGTAGCGGTAAAAATCGGAAATCAAGTTATTAATTAACTTGACTCGGAAATAATCAAGAGTCGCCACCACGCTTTATTATTTCCAAAGGAAAAGGGAAAACGCAAAATAAAACCCATAAATATGAAAAGTAAGTGCAATACTAAAAGTAAAGAAAAATACAATGCATTTGAAAAAGATCAAAGGTTCGGTGGTTGGTTATATAAAGGGAAGGTACTAGCATCCTATGTATCTATAGTATCCTATAGGAACCTTTTGAAATATCTGTTTTTGGTTAAAATTGGTTTGCTTGCTAAATGAGTGTGAGGATGGAATTTTGAAAATGCAACGACATAATGTCGATGTTTTGGCTTAAAAGAGTGTAAGTTTGAAAATTGAGTTTTTTTAGGAGATTTAACTTAATATTAACAAAACTAAAAAATGTATGAAGGGATTTCGTACAATCATATTAGATACTTTATGACATGAAGTCAACTAATTAATTTTTCCCTTGGAATTAGCAAAAAAGGCATAATAATCGGATAAGAATCAAAGTACAAGCACTCAAGGATCCATAAGAAGATAAATTTAAATAAACAGTTAATTGTAAAAGACAATGAGAGTTTAATTTAAAAAAGACAAAGATAATCAAATACAAATGTAAGAGAACGTGATTAATTATCCAAAGAAGTTATTTGAACTAAATTAACATTTTAAGATTACTGAATTAATTCTAAGCTAAATAATCTAAAGATATTAGAATAATTCTAAACTAACTACAAATTCTAAGGTTATCAAAATTATTATAAACTAAGTAAAAATTCAAAAGGAAACTAACTAAACTAAATTAAAATTCTAAAGTTACTAAATTAAATCTAAACAAGATAAAAATTCTAGTGTTGCTAAATTAAATCTAAACCAAATTAAAATTCTAAAGTTAATAAATTTATTCTAAAATTAAACTAATCTAAATAATAAAACTTATCTAATAACTAAAACATCAATATTTGTTCAACTAAAACATTAATATTTAATTAATTCTAAAAATTTTAACTAAGAAAAATAAAAAAAAATAAAAAAAATAAAACTAATCGAATTACTAGACTAATAGTGCATATAGGATAATGAGGTGTAACAATGAATTTTAGGAATCTGGACTAAAGGGGTTAAACCCAAACATAACATAATCATAAAAAAAGACAAAAATGAATTTAAAAATATATGAAAGAAGCAAGGCTATTTTGAATTAAAGGTCCAATTGACCAAACTAATCAACACAAAGCTAAAAACCCTAGTTCACTCCAAGGATCAACCGCTTTACTATTGTTTTTTTTTTCTCATGATAAATCCATGCTTCAGTTTCTCCATTTTAACTCATGATCATCTTTTTTCATGGTAAAACCAAATAAAAAAACTTAAGCTCTCATCTTCTTCCTTTTTCGTTTCTTCCCTCAACCGTAATTTTTTCCTCTTTTACTCTCACATTATCAACAAAAACTTCTTCTCTATTTTCCCCTTCAACTGAAACAACAACAACAATTACAATCCTTTGCTTCAAACGCTCTCGGCTGATCATTTTCGTTGATCAACAACAACAATAAAGTTTACAAAAAAACATCCTCTCGCGGACCTCTCTCTCACGATGTTCTTCTTATTTCTATCAACCGATTCTCTTTATCTCTACATCTCAATAGATTCTCTCGCCCTCTACTTTCATAGTTTCTGAGTCGAGCCAATAACCATAAATTTTCGATTTGTTCCTCTTTCTCATGGTTTAAGTTTCAGTGACAAACAAAAATACACATAGTTCCAATCCTTGGTATGTTAACTGTTTCACTCGCTCGGTTCATAAATTGATCACAAGAGCAATGATAATCAAGATCTCATCTACCGATTCTCATGACTCGGGTAAAGTGGGGACAGTTTCGATTCCTCACGGTTTTAGGCTTCTGAAGAAGAAGCAACAGAATCAAAACTTACGGTTAGTGATTTCCATCTGTTTCATGATTTTTGTTCTCTCAAAATTTTCATGGTTTATTTTGTGTGTGATAGTATATGCCTTATAGATCTGTGCTCATGGAAATATACGATTTTCTAACACTACAACATTTGTTGTCTCTGGCAACACTTTTTTAGGTAACATGTAGAAATTGTTGCCTTAAATTCATATAGGCAACGATTTACGATTGTTGTCAAAAATATATTTGCAGCCCTTGATAATCGTCGCCTAAAATACTTTTGGGGACGTTTATGGAGCGATACTCTTTTATTTTTTTGCCAACGGTTGTTAATTGTGCCCTTAACTGTATTTGGGGACGATTTTAGAGCGTTAAAATATTATTTCTTTAGCAATGTTTGACAATTGTCCCCTAAAATATTTTTGGGGACATTTTTAGATTGTTACATTAGTTCTAATAAAAGGCTACATTTCTGAAATGTTGTATAAATTTTTTTAGAATTATCAAATTTTTGGTGGCAATCTTCCCTCCAAAACATATACACTAAAAAACAAATATTTTTCTCTAAACATTATTAATATATATAAAAAAAAATATTTTTCTAACACAGGAATTTAAAAATAAAAAATTTCAATTAAACAGAAAATAAAAAATTATATATATATATATATATATATATATATATATATATATATATATATATATATATATATATATATATATATATATATATATATATATATATATATATATATATTAGTCTAAAACTTATATATATTTCAATTAAATAGGAATTTTTCTAACACATTATTAATATTTCTCTAAAACTTATATATATATATATTAAATTTTTTTTCATTAAACAGAAAATAAAAATTTTTCTAACATAGAAATTTAAAATATTTTTCAATCCATTCCCGTTCCATTCTTATCTCGCCTAAGTCATCTCTATCTCATTCCATTCCTCAACTTCAATAACTGCATCACTTTTCTCACAACATTCTCACTCTCGCTGAATCCGACTCTCATGATTCCGAAACAAGTTCGAGAAATCAAGCTTCGCGTAACAGCGACTCCACTTGTTTATCGCTTACTCACTTCCTCAATCGCAAACTGCATAACTCTTCAACAGTCCCTCAAAGCGTTCCGGTAAAATTCTGGATCCAAAATTACTCTTAGGGTTTCAGGCTGATTTAATATATATGGGATATGTTGAAGTGTGTTGATTTGTTTCATTTATTTGTTGTTCGTTTCGAAAGCACGTGTTTCTTTTCTTGGATGAAATTTTCTAATTTGTTATTGAATAGGGGAAGTTGACGCCTTTTCAATCACCGGCCAGTGAGCAAGATGGAAGCGTCAAACTAACTGAAGAAGAGAGAAAGTCTGCAACTGCTGATGAGAAGTTGATTTTGGGAATGTTCAAGCAAGAGGGAAAATGTGACTTTGTTCCTTCGTTAGATCTTGATGAGTTAGGAAATTATGTGGCAGGTGATGGTCAAGGAGCTAGGAAAAAGAAAAATCCATTTGAAGGTTTGGATTCCTATCCCAATGAACTTGAGCACGCGTTTTGGCTCTGTTATTTATTATTCTTATGGGAAAGTTGAAACTGTTATTTAGGGAAATAATACAATTAAAGTGTCCTTGTCTTTTACTTTATCGACTAGTTAGTGATTGCAAGTGAGGTTCTTTGTTTAATTTATTGATGTCATAGAGAGATATTTGTTTCAGTCTATTTTACTTGGAATGGTCATGAAAAAAGATTTTATACTGACAACCATTTTAACTCCATTTTGGAAGATCAAGTAGGCACCATGTCTCTGATTTCATACTATGTATGCCGTTCATTGTCATATGCTTCTTTAGGAAACTTCAATGTATGCCATTATTTCCGATTTTTTGAGTTTGGTAGCAAGCAAGTATGAGTCTTGCACTGCTCTTAGGGTTTCATTGTTTGATTTTAAAGTTGGTTGGCAATCCTCTTTTCGGCCGAATATATTGATCAACTATAGATTATTCAGAGGAAGGCAAAAGAGTTGTATGTATTTGGTACAGGGACAGGACAGTTGCATAAGACTGATTGAGAAGTTCAGATGGAGTTGTCTAATGCTAAACCCCCCCTTTTTTTATGTACCTAGATTGGTGTCGAGACTCAAAAACCTATCCAGATAGATAACTTATGGTCAAACCAATAGAATATGCAGACCATAACATTATAAATTTCAGTTAAGGTTAAGACACCAAAAACTATAGTATAGGATGCAAACTTGTTTCTTGGGCTGTGGTGTAGGCATGATTTTGAGTGTAACTATTACATGATGCTAGTTTTCACCCAACGAGTATACTGATATTGGACATTTGGTATGAATGTGATAATTCATAAAAAAATATCCATGAAGGCAACTGATAATGATATTGGACTTTGACTTTGTGCATGTTTAGATTAAAAGTTCACCAATTTATTCTAATTATTAAAAAAAAGTGTTTCATTTCTTGATCTTGTCTTATCTTATAATTTATGTAGCGGAAGTTTATCTTGCCGGTTGAAGCACGAGATTGGATTGAGACCACTGTTAGAGAGGCATGGAGAAGATATAAGTTTATCTTGCCGGTTGAAGAACGAGATTGGATTGAGATTATAAGTTTATCTCAATGTTTTAACAAACTAATATGTTTTCATTTTATTTGTGCCTAGAGGTAGTGGTGGATAAAAAATAAAAACAAAAACCTTATCTGTTACAATATAATGGTGGTATTTTTCTTTCTGATTAGCATAATGATAATGTAGTTTTAATAAATTTTCAGGATTCCTCCAAACATGTTTTCCACATTGTAACTGATAGGCTCAATTATGCGGCAATGAGGATGTGGTTTTTGGCCAATCCACCTGGAAAGGCGGCAGTTCAAGTTCAAAACATTGAAGATTTTGCATGGTTGAACTCGAGTTACAGTCCAGTTCTTAAGCAGCTAAGTTCTCCTTCAATGATAGATTATTACTTTAAGGCTCACCGTGCTTCTTCTGATTTGAACCTCAAGTTTCGGAATCCTAAGTATTTATCTATGTTGAACCATCTCCGCTTCTACTTGCCCGAAATATTTCCAAACCTCAAGAAAGTGCTGTTTTTGGATGACGATGTAATTGTGCAGAAGGATCTTACTGGTCTTTGGTCAATTAACTTGAAGGGAAATGTAAATGGTGCTGTCGAAACTTGTACAGAAAGTTTTCATGTATATGTGTGTTGTTGTACGGTGTTTTACGGTTTGGTGTTGTTTAGTTTGGACAGCATAATTGTGTATGTATTAGCCATAAGAGAACTCTCCTTTAAATTGGACAGCATATATAATTGGACAGCATAATTGTTTTATGATTTTATTGTGATCCTAATGCTGTTACTTTTAATAGTCTTATGAGGGTTCATGTGAAAGCTGGTAGGACGGAGAAGGTTTTGCAGGTTTATAATCAAATGAAGAGACTCGGTTGTGCTGCAGATACAATTAGTTACAATTTCCTCATTGAGAGTCATTGTAAGGATGAGAATCTTGATGAAGCTGTGAAGGTTCTTGATACAATGGTTAAGAAAGGGGTTGCTCCTAATGCATCTACTTTCAATTCGATTTTCGGATGCATAGCTGAGTTGCATGATGTGAATGGCGCACATCGGATGTATGCTAAAATGAAGGAACTGAAATGCTTGCCTAATACGTTGACTTATAATATACTGATGAGAATGTTTGTTGACTCGAAATCTATTGATATGGTTTTGAAGTTGAAAAATGACATGGATGAGAATCAAGTTGAACCTAATGTGAATACTTACAGGATATTGATTATGATGTTTTGTGAAAAGGGGCACTGGAATAATGCATACAAGTTCATGAAGGAAATGGTTGAAGAAAAAAGCCTAAAGCCAAACCTGTTGATTTATGAAATGGTTCTGGAGCAGCTGCGGAAGGCTGGACAGCTCAAAAAGCATGAAGAGTTGGTGGAGAAGATGGTTTCTAGGGGATTCGTCGCTCCTCGCCCTTTGTAGTTGCTTTGTCCTTGACTTCATTGAGCTGAACAAGGGTGTCTTAATGTTTGTTTAACAGGTTATAGCGTTTTTGATTGAATCTTTTTAATTTGATTAACTCGATGGTCATCATGTCTATAGAATGGTGGTGGTTTTGCTAATTGCTATAAGTGACACGAAATGCCGGTTTAAGTTTAACTGGTTATCATGTTTTAGATGGAGTCTTTTCAGTTTAACTTAATGGTCATATTTATTATTGGCAAAACTATTAGTGCTCAAAAAGGAATTGGGTTGAGTGTCATTGATAAGTGTTGTTTTTGTTACTGGGCAGGGTATTCAATTGACCACTTGTTCTCTGAACTGCTAAATTTTTGATTCAGAATCCCTGAATGGTTTGACTGAAAGAACCACCAATAGACGCAGTGCACATTAGCAGTATGTCCCTGCCGGCCTGATGTTCATGGAGATGCTAACAATTTTTTCTTATTTAGTAATTAAGAGAGACTGTCTGAGATGCTCTTTTATGTGGGGGAGGAGGTAACTCTATCAGTTAGATGTGATGAACCCTTTTTTGTAGGTGCTGCCTGGTCTATTTTTACCCGATTCTAAAACTCATTTTTGACTCTGTGGTAGCAAACTGCATGAACTGCAAAAGCCTCTTTAAGCTAAGCAAGCTGCTATGTGTAATGTATTGGCGCTTGCAAGGCTAAAGAAAAGAACTCAAGTGAAAGCTACAGTGAATAGAGAAAGAATTCAAAAGGTTGATGGAAAATTGGACAACCACATTGCTATGAAGAAAGCAGAGAGACCTAAGCTTTTGCAACCACAAGCTAAGGAAGTTCTTGCACATGGAAACAAAGAAGTTTCACAAGGTAGTTAATATCCCTGCATATACTTTAAATTTATATATTTCTTTTCATGAAATTATTATGACGAGAAAATTATATTGAAACCAGGAATGCTGAAAAAAAGAATTCATGAGAATCTACTAGAGAACAATAGAGATAAAATTCAAAAGGTGGAAAAACCAGTTGCAAGGAGAATACTTATTTCTTCCAAAAATAAGAAACCAGAGAAATCTACTCTATCTTTGGACACAATGATGTCAAAAGCTGAATGCTCTCAAAAGCTAAATGATGAATTTCAAGAGGAGGATATAGATGGTGAATTTCAAGAGGACGACGTAGATGAAGAATTTATGGAGGATGACATATCTAACGAATTTCAAGAGGACGATCTGGATGCTTTACTCCTAGAAGACAAACTTGAATGAGTTGGATGATGTCTTTTTTTTGGCTTGTAGTTGAAAGGATTAAACTTGAAATATGATTTTTGTTCTTTTGCTGAACTATGTTTTTAGTTATTTTACTAGGGTCATACTTCAAAGTATTAAGAGTAATATTGTTACGTTAGGCATTTTGTGTATTCTATATACTATATCTTGAATTAAAGTTTGAACTCGATTTTATTATATTACAACTTTTATGGATATATGGTTTAAGTTATATAATCAATATTATGTTTGAAGCCAATTATTATTGACTATATTATTTTGATAATAATTGCAAAATTGTTTGTTTTATGTGGACACTATAAAACAACAACCTATAAGCTATGGCTACACTTCAAAAACGATCTTCCTGATTCAGGTTTAAGGCAACGATTGTTAATTGTAGCCGAATTTGGCAACGCAATGCTTAAAAAATATTGTCTCAGACGCCGTAAATAATCGTCCCCTATTCCTTTACTATAGGCGACGTTTTTCAAAAGCGTTCCCAAAAAACATAAAAAAATGTCGCCTCAAACAATAGGCAACGCTCGCACAGGGGACGCCTAGAAAACGTCCCCTATTGTTTTAGGCAACGATTTTCAGAGTTCTGGCAACGTTTTTCAATTGTTGCTGGAGAGCCTAAATGTTGTAGTGTAACTATGCTTTTTCTTAACATTTTTTATGATTTCTATCTATTACGGTAGACTTTGTAATGTAACAGAAAAGTTTTCAACAAATATGACAATTATATGAAACAAAGCAAGTGATGCAAGAAAAATATTCATGTAAGTGGTGATACAGTGCAAGCGGATCAAACATATATGTAATGGGAAAAAGAGATTATGCAGAAATAAATGGGAAGAAAAATATGCCTATTGGAGTCTCTCCGATGGAGCTTCGAGAGACAGTAAGTTCACAATCCTTCTTCTGTTGTTGCTTCTACTTCTGTTTCTATCTATTTCTCAATATTTTTGTTGTGATTCTTGTGTTTCTGTCTGTGAATAAATTTTTTGAGATATCTTTTGTGTTATTTTTCTCCTCCCTTTCTGTTGAACCAAGTCTCTTTTTCTATAGAGGAAGACATATGGGATTTGGGTGGGGGTGGGGGGGGACTATAGAATTTGAAGAATTATGATGCACTGATTTGCTCCTTTTTCGTTGCAGTTCTGTTTTGCCATTTTAGTGTCTGAACAGCACATAGCTCCAACAGTTTTGGAGCTATTATACATGGTGGAAAGCAACATTGCATCATGTTTTATTGACAGGTTTTGTTGTGTTGTGGACATAAATTTTGTTGTTTTGCTTGGCAGAATTGTGGACATATTTTGGATTGTTTTTTAACAGTTTGTTTGGCATTATTATGCAGGTTTTTGACAGGTTTATGTAGTGGCATCAGAGTGATTTTTGTTGTTTTTGGCTATTTTGGGTACTGGTTTTAGAGCAGGTTATCTAGAGGGGCAGCAGCAGATTTTTGGCATTATTATGCACGTTTTATGCAGCTTAGACAAGGACAAGGCATCATTTGTGGACAACATAGTGTTTTTGGACTGTAAGGTTTTTTGGCATTGAGTAGGATAAGCTTAACACAATAGCCCTTGTATAAAATACTTGAAAACCTATTTGTAAATTTTCTTGAAGAGGTTAAGATCAAATGATATTTGTATGAATTTGTTTTGAATCAAATCAATGAAATTTCATATGTTTCCACACAAACTTTATCTAAGGTTCATGTTCTTTACTTCTAACATTATCAATTGAATGAACTTGTAACCTTGTAAAGTTTTGACATTTCAAGTTCCCTTACCAAACTTAACCTTTTCTTCTAACCTTTTGATAAATTGGATGCATCGTTATATTCAAGTGTTTTCAAATAAATGGATGAAACTTGTAATTCCAAACTCAAGAAATGAAACTTTTGAATCCACCCACTTCTGAGTCGTGTATTGAATGTCGTATTCTGTCAAGATTATTTGCCATCTTACAATTCTCCCAGACAGAGCAGGCTTTTCAAATATGTACTTTATAGGATCCATCTTTGAGATCAACAAGGTAGTGTGAGTCAGCATATACTGTCTCAGTCGGCGAGCAGCCCATACCAAAGCGCAACAAGTTTTCTCGAGCAGTGAGTGTTGGGTCTCACAGTCGGTAAACTTTTTGCTAAGGTAATAAATGGCGTGCTCTTTTCGGCCAGACTCGTCATGCTGCCCCAGCACACACCCCATTGAGTTGTCAAGTACTGTCAGGTATAGTATCAGAGGTCTCCCCTC